TCCATTCTGCCACATGGAGAAGTTTGTCCAAGTTATATGTTACTTGCAGAAATTTAATTCTTGGATTATGTGCATTTTTATTGATGAACACTACTTAATCATTCTCCCAAGAAGTTTGTTAAAAAAAATGTATGCTACTATGTTTATATAACTTCTGTATTAATGAAGGGACATTTCATTTATAACTCTCTCTCCAGGGTAAGTGTTTCTTAATGAATTATGCCACCCAGTACAAGCAGCAGGTGGTCTGACAGAGCCTTTCCATTTTCAACTTAATACTGCATTCTTGATTTTTCTTGCTAGAGAATACTCAATTATCTTCATGTTTCAAACAGTCAGTCACCACTGCATTTTCTTCGTTGCATAGCAAAAGTTTCCTTCCACCTCAACTCATCTTAGATGTTAAAAATCTAACCACAAATTGATGGTATTATAAACAGGAAACTCAGTGATTAATTCATGAGTATAGAGTCCTGAAAACTGAATGTGTGCCTTTTAAAACTTAGACCAAAGGCTTTGTTTGCCTTTCCCATCACAAGAGAATACAATGGGAAGGCAAAGTGGCCCTGGGCAGCCACAGAAACTACTAGTACCTTGAATATGTTAAACTTCCCACACCCTGACACATGAGAAAAAATTGTTCTGCTGACAAGCTACCTTATTTATGGTAGTTTTCTATATATAGACTGCATCAAAGATCTTACAGTTTTGGTTGTGAGCTTAACCTTTAACAGCTGAGCCCTCTATCCAGCCCTGCATCAAAGATCATACAAACTATTTGTTACTATTAAATCATGTTTGAAAATTTTCAGGAACATCACAAAAATTTATAGTTTTCCACAGCATATCTCTAGATTTTTTGTGGGAATATTATACTGTCTTCTACTTGCAAAAATTAAATATAATTTTTGAGTATGCCAAGTTAGAAAGAAATCTGAGAAACCATAATAAAGCCTCATCTTAACTTCTTTAATAAATTATGCTAATATATATCTATATCAAATTACAGATGAATATTTTAAACTTAGACTTATAAGACAACAGTGACATTTGGTAATTTTTCTCCCCTCAGAAAAATTTTAAACTATATTACAATAAAGCTTATATAATTGTATCAAATGGGAAAATGCTTTTGGTTGTTGTTTCACAAATGAAATTATTGCATAATTACAATAAAAATATCTATTTTTTTCAGGAATATCTTCTTTTATTTTGTTTAATTCAATTTTCTATAGAAAATCTGCTTGCCATATTCGAAGTCAAAAAAAAGAAATTTTTCGTAAGTACAACACTGTTTATAATAATAGAACAAACACTGAAGCTCATGTTTTATTATAATACAAACAAAATATACATTTAACAATTTTAATTATGTTATACTACAAGACTACGTATTTTTTAAAGTAGAAAGATTCAAAATTGATTGCTAACTACTTACAAAGATAGAATTAAAATCAACTGTGGATCCTGACAAGTTTTTATTTTTCTTCCCCAAAAGAGTTATGTTTCAAACTTTTCACTAATACTTTTGATTACAAAATAATCAAGAAGAGTTACAAAACCTGTGCATTTTTCTGTTCTTAGATTTCTGATTTGTAGAATCTGGGAATTTTAAATCTTATGCTTTTTAAGCCTCACAAACAAACTGAAAATTGTAGCATTATGATCATCTACTATGAGAAAATATATATTTGTATTTAAAGTAAAAACAGCTATACATCTTCCCCAAAGGCTTTGCAGTTAAAACACACTGTGACAAATGTGCCAACAAATGGTACAGTCCACAGAGAGGGGATTCCCAATTTCACTTTCTTTGTCTTAGTGAAATGTGTGAGATATACCTTAGATGTATATTTAAGGGAAAAAATCACTGTTTACTGAATGGTCTTGTTTAATTTTAATTTTTCATGTGAATGAGATGACACAAGCTGTCCTGGGAACTCAATCTTGGTTATGTTATTTCAGCAAGCAGTCACTGTTGCTGTTTTCTACCTGAAGCCACCAATACAGTAGAAATAGCATGGAATAATATACAAAGAGTCAAGTTATAAAATAACAAAAGAAAACCTCCAAGTGTGTGACCGTATCATGGCCAGCATTTTTGGAAGCGAGTCTTACTTTGAGCAAAAGACACTGGAATTGTCAATGATCCATGAAGAGTTGTTGTGGCTTTCTGTAACTTGCTGGTTTTCCCTATGCTTATTTTGGGTTTTGTTAAGTAATTTGACTTTTTTTTTTCTGAAATGTTTGCTCAATCACGTGAATATAGAGTTTTGAGCTTGTTAGGAAAGAAAAAATATATTTTTACATAAATTGATTATTTAGGCTATCCATTTCTAAACAAACTCTTAAAATTTCCAATAAATTAAATGCAAATGAATTCAGTCGGACAAAATTTCATTTAGCAGCACAAATGACTGGAATAAAAATTCAGCAATAACACACAGGAAAGTTAAGGACATATATTGAAGATAAAGAAAAATATAAACAATGAATAAGCAGATATGTTAGAGTCTGTTCTGAGAGATCTGGTGTCTTTGAATATTTGAAACTTAGAGCAATGTTCTGCCATTTCATTATTTCATTACAGAGTTTCTTTATTCGCAGTGGTTAGAAGGTAAACATTGCCCGTGTAAGCAGGAGGTATTCACACTCTTCTAAGGGTTCTGAACAAGTAATAAAGTGTGATTTAGATACTATTTGTGTTTAAAAATACATATAAACCTTAGTCTCCACTTTCATTAGGTAACCTTATTTTACTAACAGTTTTTATAATATATTTTACTCATCAGTAGTAGTTTTGTATCCAAAGCAGTCAGAATTTTAAATCTAGGGTATAGAATAGATTTCCAGAATGTTGATAGGAATGAGTTACAATTGAACTAAGTAATTAGAAAATTGTTTGGGCATTCTTACTTAGATAAAATTAATTTTTTGAAGTCAATACAAGTATTAGAACATTGTGTGCTTTTTCAATGCCCTCCATATTAGAGTATTACTGTCTGATAGACAACTATCTGCAAGTATCCTTTAAATCAAGCATGATCCCTCTGACTTGCTTTGAGTTTGCTGTGAGTTTGTAGGACTCTCAGCAAACTAATAGATAAGCACCCTTGTGTGGTATTTGATTACTAGTCTAACCATAATACACAAGTATGTGTATGTATTTCTTCTGGAGACACAATTCATTCTGGTTCACTTAAATAGTTCCTTCACTTTTCCCTTTCCTTAGCATGAAGCATCTACAAATATTTATTATTGTACTAGGCCCTCTCAGTTAAGTGTAATGTCTTTGAGATAGGCGCCCAATGTGATTGAACAGATTAAACGAATATAAGATCCTGACGATACTATGAATGAAGAGATTGACTATGTAACACTGCTCTTTAATCACACAGGCTTCTGGCAGACGTCTTCCAAGTGTGTGAAATGCATGGGAAATAAGCAAGGTCCATTGGTTCTCTAGAAAGCAGCCTTCTTTATAGGAAGTGACTAATTGTTCATTTCACACTATAAAGAGTGTGAAAAGGCCAAACAGGAAGGCTAAGGGCTTTGTGCTGAAGCGTGGAAAGGTGAGTTCTGCAGAGATTGGCATGAAAGCAATGTTCAGAGGGAAAGCTGAATTTGAAACATGCTAACAAAACACAAGTGGTTTTTATATTAATGCTCATTGTTTTCTTTACAGACTGACTTGTTGTGAAGCTACTAAAATAATGCTGCTTGAACTACAATGTACCACCTTGGAAATTCATAAAATTTGTGCGAAGAAAAGAATGTCAAAGAGTTCATTTAACCCTTCCCGTCATCAAAATTTTGCACTTATCCATTCATTCAGCAAATATATAGCCCCTACCTTGGTCATCTATTTAATTATCTATGTATGTATTACATATTGTTTTCTCCTATTTCCTCAAATATAGTCAAATAAAGATGTAAATGAAAACAATATACAGAATATGATAAATATGTAGAAAACCAAGAACACAGAAATATATTGATTATAAATAAAATATTGCCATCCCAGAATTCTTTACAAATTTTACTTTCACTTGAGCTTTTGCCAACAGTTCGTTATAGCTAGATTGTTTTTAACTGATACATTGCAAGTTGGGAGATAGTTATGCACTAGTAGAAAGAGTTCCATTACATTCTTTCTAGTCTGTTTGTAGTTTCCTGCCTTTTCATTCAATATAAGTTTTCCTGGGTGCCATAATTTATGGCTATCCCTCTGTCTGTCTCCTAGGTCCTATCTGGATTACAGCGCACACCATGTCTCTCTTACTATATTAAAATATTTCCCCATGTTTTTAAAACATGAATTGTGTATTCTGCATTCTAGAACACACTATGAAGCATCAAGTTCTGTCTGTGAAACTGTTTCTCTTGACCAGTCACAGGGAACCTTGATGGGATCATTAATAACCTCTCCAAAAACAACTGTTGCAGTGTACTAGGTGTAGCTTGTCCTGAAAGAAGTGTCACACCTTTCTAAATTCTCAGACCTGGTCTAAGTGTGGGATGGTAGACCCTTGAGAAAGCTACTGTCACTAACATACTTTTTAATTTGTGCCTCTCCTCCAATTCCTATAACATCATCAATTCTAGAATGGAATGATTTAGCTACTTATAAGAATATAACCAACTGCATGAGAAACTCCATGTATAATGGATGTGCTTGGGAATAATGCACCTTCCACTGGAACTGATGATGTCCATTTGCTTACTTCTATATATGATGTTAAATTCAAAACATAAGACATTTACAAATGTAAGGCTCCCATTCTGAGGACAATTCTTGACTTTGCTGATATCAGTTTTGTTATCAGAAAGCTGGTTCAGATAAAGTCATATCTACCACAGACAGTCTTATTCAGTATGCCATTCTGTGCCTTAATGAGACTCCATGGAAGGCAGCTATTAATTGCTTTGAGGGATGGACAAAACAGAAGACAGTATTTTGTAGGCAGGTAAATAATTTTCTCTTTAAATTAAATAGGAAACTATGTAGCTACAGCTCTGTGGAGCTCATCCAGGTCTCTGTGATGCCGTCGATTTCGTTTCTTCTTTATTTCCTGCATGTGCTTCCACTTTGGGCCGCCCTTGTTGCGCTGTCTCCGCTTCTCCCTGTACCACATCTGTTCACAGTACTGGTCCAGGCTGAAGTTTGGGCTGCTAAGGATTTGGATGTAGTCTTTGTATCTCAACCGTGACTCAGCCAATAGATCCTTGACCTGCCCCTCCTGGTGCTCTGCCCTTTGGGTATTTTCCATCTGTTCATTCTCAATGACATTCAAAGTCAGCTTTACTACGGTGTGGATGAAAGTGTGCTCCTGTGCTTTGCAGTAATACATCCCAGAGTCCTTCTTCTGCAGACTTCGAATCAGTAGCCCATAGTCTGTTTTGATGATCCTTTCATCGGGTTTCAACTGCAGGTTGAAAAAAAAATGTAGGTAATAAATTAGAAACAGAGAGCCATAAGCAAATGAAAACAGACCACATAGTTTTACTTAGATGAACCTAAAAGATATATCCTTCAACTTTCTGTCATCAAACATGGCATTGTCAGCCATAGTTGAAGGTGGTTAAAAAAAAAAAAAATCAACAATCAGCTAAAGTAGTGGCCCCCAAGTGATACCGTGAATTCTCTATATTCAATTTCTGCTCTCCAGTGCAGAAGCAAGAATGAAATGCTGTGGAGAACAATGAAGTAAAATGATGTTATCAAGCAGCATGTACCGATATTTCAGATGGAAATCAATGGCCTAAGATGACAAACAGTTTCAAGGGAGATTTTACAAATAGTCACTTATTAGTAGAAGAACTTGGAGTGTGTACTGCTTGTGACAGAGAAGAGAACAATGGTATTGGCTCTACATTTTACATATCACCAGAAAAACAAATGATATGTATAGTTTATGAGAGCAAGAAACTGAGTAGGAAAAACACGGCTAAGGCTTTGGACATCAGAGCTGTAACTGAACAGGCCTGTACTGTGAAAGCTAGCATCGTCTAAACCTAATTTCCCTGTTATCATCTAAACTTGGACAAGCGATACTGGGCTGCCACATTGGTTGGAATTTTTTTACCATAGCTTCAAATACTCTATCTAATATGGTAATGTGATTTAAAGTGTGAGGAAGCACAATGACTAAGACCTGCCCTGAAATGCTATGCACAACCCTTTGAAGCCACAACACTGAGAGACAATGCAAAGGTTAAGCTTGCCTGGTTCACAATTGGTGTGAATAATGAGCTATCTTCAATATAGCAGGGGCATGTTTATCAACGCAAGGGCCTTATTTCAATGTGGGGTGTTGTAGAAAAACAACAACAACAAAGAAACCTGGAAGAATTCCCAGTTTACACATCTGTCCCAGAATTGTAGGCTGCTAGCGGATGGAAAAGAAAGAGGCATAAAGACAGCTAAATTAAATTTATTCACAGTGGGTGGACTATACTTCACATTCTTATGTGAAAAGTATGTAGGAAAAAATCTCTCTTATTCTGGAAATATGAGAAAAGGAAAAGAAACATCTTTGGCTACCAGCCCAGTTAACTAACAAGTATATGGCAAGCCACCCTTGGTGCCAGAAAAGTGCAGCTGGCAGGGAACCAGTTGAGGCCAAAGGCAGGTCACAGCTCAGATCCTTGGTTAATGAGGCTGAATGGTCTCCAGGCCTGCCTTGTACTGCCTCGAGTTCACACCATCAGGCCTCTGCTTGGTTCCTTGTTTGTGCCCTTTCCTTAGACCATTTGGCGAGCTGGCTGTTTTCCTTTCCCACTGGATACAATCAAATAGCCATGACATCTTAAAATGCTATCACAATACAAACCAACCTCAAATTAATTTAAATTCTCAAACCACAGAAGCTTCCTGCCTAGAATAAATGTGGATATGCATTTGTATACATCTAATGGGGCACTGCTGAACAAGAATAGCAGTTTTGTATTTAACACAGGACATGCATGCCTTCCTTTTAAGTAATTTTATTGTAATTGCTTAAAAAGTCTAAATCAATCTTAGATCTCAAAATACTGGGTCTATGAACTTGGATGCTGGCTTCTCATCTGATTGCTTCCTTCTATAATTCATTTATCTTCCCCAGTGTTTCTCACCTATTAGTTCCTGACTAGCACATGGTGAATTTGAAAGTTAAAATGTGATGTATCAGCAGCATTGTAGCTGCTGTGTTGTACAAAGGGTTTTATTTTTTGCAGTTTCTGCAGTTTCCTTCACCGAAAATGCCCTGAAACCCAAAGCATGACACATGTCTAGCTGAAGTTCTAATGCATCACTCCGGAGATCTCACAGAACTCTGTGGTCTGACTCCAACTGCTGCCCAGGCTACAGTCAATGCAGCCGTTAGACACAGTCACAGTTCCAGCTATTTGCTTTCTCTGGTTTTCTTTAATCTTCCAACAGGAAGAAATTATGATTGTAGCTTCATGCACACTGGGCAGCACCCCATAGATGTTCTGTCCCTCTCTTTCTGTATCCTGTTTATGAAGCTTTGTCCTGGGACTGAGTTTCCTTCCCTCCACTTCATGTTAGCTCAATCCCTATGGGACTGTACATTCCATAAACACCAGGCATTTCATTCCTAGGTCATGGCCCTTCACCTTTTTTTTTTTTTCCTTCTATGCAATACTTTATCTGTTCTTCAGTTTTTGATCATCAGTGATAAAATACACTTTAATTTTTTTCTCTTTTGCTACATGGATTTACTTAAAGTATACCAGGTTGTTTAATGATTCTTTTCCAACATTTCAAAGTATAGCTTTAGCACAGTGCAATCTGTAATAAAACAGATCTTGATTTCACACATTGAGAAGATTCCTGCAATTTATAGATTAAAAATCTGTGACCCAGAAGTTAGGAAGATGACCTGCAGTCACTTAGTGATCATCACTTCACTATAATGCTTTCATTTTTTGCGGCGATGAGACACATCCTCAGCCCATGGTCCACAATCACATGGCAGCACAGACAGAGGAGAAAACAGAGCTCCTCTCAAAGAGATCATTTCTGGCCACCTCTTCTAATTCATGGAACTTTCTCCAGTCTAGAAGTGCTAAGCAAAACTTCTCTAAATTTAAGAACCAAAACCATTCTTCAATTGGAGCCAGCTATCCATTTGCCTAATGTGAGCAAGGATTGTATACTTGGCATTGTAAATGGAACTCTTCAGGAAGGCAATTCATTTCAAATGAGAAGAACAAAGGAAGGATGAAGGGCATTTAGATACTAAACAGCAGGTGAAGATGAGAAGTGCCTTATTCTTTATTAAGAGCAGCTGGAAGGCCTAAAGCATTTCTCATGTCTTGGAAGAAACTACAGTTTCAAGAATATTCCTTTCTCCAGAAAACAGAAGATATTACCGGAGGGGAATCAGTATTAAATAAGGACGAACACTCTCATCATGAAAAATATGAAAGTCTATAAACCTGTTGTAAAAAATGTGTTTGTATTTAAAATACTGAATACTTTTGTAGTTTGATATGTGAAGAAGCCAAAATAATGTTTAAGAACAAGATTGTATGCATTTTTTAGGTTTTTCCACTTATGCTACATAATGAAACATTTATTAATGTAATAGAAAACCAATAATCATTTTTGAACAAAAAGCAAAAGGAAAATATTACTAAAGTAATTGGTTCAATTCTTTTAAGAAATGAAATTTATGTGTAACTTTTAGAACAACTTTTTACCTTTGAATAAATATAATCATGAAAATATAAAATAATTTGAAAAAACATTGATGTCTCACTGTGGAAGAAGTTTCTAAGCAGAACAGTTAGGGTAATTAGAAATAAGTAGACTTGCCTATATCAAATATCACCCTTATTTTAGAAATTTTCAAAACTGTTAGAAGCAAAATATATATAATTAAGTTACTTAATGTGTTACTATGAAATTATTGATTTCTGTAATGTATCAATGGCTCAAGGGAAGTATTTTTAAGCGAAACTGCTAACAACTACCCAAACAATGGACACCTAAGATACTTCACAAAAAAGTAATTAATGGGAAGAAGCATTTGCCCATATGTGCTATTACTGAAGGAAGTAAATTTAAAAAAAAATGTGTGTGTTGTGTGTGTTTGTCTCTCTCTCTCTCTCTCTCTCTCTCTCTCTCTCTCTCTCTCTCTCTGTGTGTGTGTGTGTGTGTGTGTGTGTTTTCCAAATTGTTAAAGGCTTCTTAAATCTTATAGACAGTATCTCTGGTTCTGTGAGGCAACATTGAAGGACAATCAAACAGTATAAAGACCAATGTCTCCAACTTCTTTTGTTTTCAGGATTTTGTCCTAACTAAATAGAAAAAACAAATATTCAGATGTAAAGGGAACCTTTTTTATTACCAGAAAACATGGGTGATTTACAGATCTTCTGTTAGTTACTGTGGATGCTTTGTGGATGAAGGAGAGACAAAGGCATGGTGTTTACTACTAATAGGAGGAAGCTCGAAAATACTATCATGGCAATGAGGAGTACTGGAACCGAATAAACCCAAAATATCACTCAAGCTTGTCTACACTAAGTGGTCTCACTGTTCCTTCTGTGTTATTACAAGCTTAAAACCATTTATTTGCTTTCATAACAGAAAGAACGAAAGGAAAACAGAGACATGCAGATGGAAAATGCAGATACTGGAAGACGCTTTAAAGGCGCTCAACTCCACCAAGAAAAAACAGTATGGCAAATGGCATGAAGGATAGCTTCTTTTCTTCGTTAAAGTTACTCGCAAAGTTCAACAGAAGCTCAGGGACTGCCAATTAATTCGCTAGCTACAGCATAAACACCATCAGTTTCAAGAGCAGCATTATAAGAAAGTCAGCAGATAAGTGACTCGTGACCTCCCGAAAGCAACCAACAGAGACGTGGCTCAATGAGGAATCGGCTCCTCCTGGCACAGAACAACCTGGTGACAGCATCAGTAGCCCAGGAGACTATGGTCCATCCCCAGGGCTTTTTATGAGCAGAGGAAAGATTCCAACTGGCGACCTTATGAGTGAGGAACAGAAGGCATCCTGCAGGGCAACATGCTTCAAGTGCAGCCGGGATATGGCTCTGTTCCTACACTCAGGAAACGGCACTGCAGGTCTTGGACAATGGGAAACTACCCATTTGCAAAGACAGATGAAAATTCCAGTTGAAACATTGCAGGGAACATACTTTTCAGCAAAATTCAATAAATACATTATTTCTGCTCCATTGAAATTCATGGAGCATGGTACCATCATGATATGTGATATAGTACTGTAAGGTACATTAAAACAACACCTAGAAATTTCAGAAAAATTTAGAATGTAGGTGCACCATAGGCAAATACGGATACCTATAGCTGGAAGAATAACTCAATCAGTACTGCACTTTTCATTCTAAAGGTCAGATTTAATTTGCTATGGGGGACAAATAACTCTCTAAATAATTATATCTAATCTAATAGAAAGGAAAATCACACCCCAGGAGCTATAAAATCTAAAAATTGTTTCAACTCATATACAATTAAAATATAAAAATGTACCTAAAGTAAATTTGCATATTAAAATGCAGACAGCTTTCAGTATTTCTTGGACAAAGAACAGGGGCTTGCATTTTGAAGTAGAATAATCATTACTATATCATATATAGATATAATATTAGAAAAATAGAGTAGAAAATAGATAAGATAGTCTTAAACATTGAGTGCGTATTTCTTCTGCCTAAGTTAGAATTTATGGTTTGTGACATAAAGTTTTATAGATATGTAACATCATAGAGAATAGAGTCAACAGGCATATGAAAATTTCTAGTTTCATACATTTATGTATTAAACTTCAGTCAATAGAGAAAAAAGTGATGCTTATGGTTCTCTTATTTTGGTGAATTTTCTTAACACAGACTTGTGATTACAATATGTTATGAATATTTTATGACATAGTAAGTCATACCTATTAGGGCCACATTCAGTCTTCCCTTCACCACAGTGTCTTTTGTGCAATATGAGAATTGTAAATGCCAATAAAATACCATTAAATTCTTTAATCTTTTTATTTATTTATAACGTATGAGCCTAAGCTAGGCTACGCCACAGAGGTCATAGAGTGCATGTGATGGGGCAAGTCCTTCTGTGTATGTTTATCTTATTGGTTATTAAATAAAGCACTGCTCAGCCATTGAGGCAAAAAGTTAGGTGGGACTAGGAGTCAAAGAGGATTCTGGGAAATGTAGGAAAGAGAAGTCTGGTGATCCAGGCAGGAAGTGACATAGCAGGCAAACTCAGAAGATAAGCAGGAAATCGCTCTTTTGCTCTTCCTTTTCCTCCTGCTCTCTTCTCTACAGAGTTGCCATGTGATTCCTGGGAAGAGGACACCAGTGGAAGGTGTCCTCCATAAGATAAGTCTTATAAAATATATAGATTTATGATAATTAAGACTGAGCTAGCATATAAGAAATCCTAGTCAATTGGCCAGCAGCATTGTAAGCTAATATAACACTCTGTGTGTTATTCTGGGTGCCACATGACGGCAGGGCTCTGTAACATACATGATTTTGTCATAAAATATTCATAATATTTTAATCCCAATTTTCTCCTTTGACTTAAGATTTAAGACATAGATACATAAAACTTAAAATATATATATGTCCAAATGCACAATTTTATCTAATTTCCACTTATGATACAATATTATGGAAATAGATATTTCTGTAAATGTTTCATTTTGTGACCTGGATTAAACTCAATAGTAGCTAAAATCTAGAGATGTTACCATGGTTATGAAAATTTTGTGTTCTTATCAGAAAATGTCTTGAAATTCTTTAAGAAAAATAATTTGAAAGAAAAAATCATGTGAATATATTTTAAAAATGAGTATCAATGCTACATTTTCATTGAATAGGCCTATTCTTGTCCCCAAACAATTGTAACCTATGTTGTTAGTGAGTATAAACTCTTAATTTTTATTGAACAAACAGTGAGGGCAGTGCTCAATGACACTCAAGTTGGTGCAAAGTTAGTATGGAATAGCTTTACTTCAGCTTGATGATAGCATCCTTGCTGATGACTGCTTACCTCCTCACGGTGCTCATCACCTGACCGCTGTATGTACCACTTAACAGAGGCTTGCTGGGATTTAGGTATACATTCTAGAAAAGTGGAATTAAATTCAATTCCAAAAATCACCTTTTCATCAGCTGTTTCATGACTAATGCCTAGAAAGCAAACATAGCATTAGAGATTAACCTTGACCCGATTTTAAAAGAAATGGGAATATAGGTTGATTCAGAACAGATGTCACAAGGGAAGAACCATACACATTATTAAGGAGAAAGGAAATTCATGCTATAATACTGTTACCTGAGAATCAAATCCTATCCAACAGAGTGATCTTTAAACTACACCTGTATCACCCTTGTAGTCTTTCATGGCCACATCACAATTATTTTAAAGAAATAACAATTGATTATATTTAACTCTTACTGTTGCAACTCTTCATTAAATAACTTTTAGGTATGTCAATGTTTTAAGGTTATTTACCATTCTGTTGTTAGTCCTGGAAGAGTAATTTAGTGATTTATTGATTGATTTACATATTTTATTCATTTTCATTTTCATTTTATGTGTATTGGTGCTTTGCCTTCCTTTACACCTGAATCACATGCATACAATTCACAAAGAAGCCAGAAGAAGCTAGCAGATCACCCAGCTTGAATTAGAGATGATTGTTAGGTGTTGGTGCATGCTGAAAATTTATCTAGAAGAGAAGCCCATGCATTTTACTATTAAGTAATCCCTTCAGCCCCAACAGTCTAATTTGAAAAGAGATAACAAGCAGACAGACAGACAGACAGGCAGGCAGAAACAAATATACACACACAAAGAGAGAGACAGAGAGAGAAGAGAGACAGAGATTCTATTTACATCGGTACATAGATTTGATGTGATAATATTTAGAAATTTTGGTATCTGCAATCAGGAAAATAAGTAGATAGTCCAGGCTTGACGAAATTGTGACATGAACAAGATTGACAGCCTGATTGAGAATGGAGACCTTGCTTACATTGTCTACTATTTTGGTTTGGAGTTATTTTTTTACCTGACATGTATTTAGTACAAGTCAGTCAATGAGATGTTAAGGGTAGTACCTCAGATATTTTATTAATTCAGCTACTCTATCTAACATACATTCTATCCAGAGTACTTAAAGGCTGTGTTCCATGTGTCATATAAAATCTGTAGCTCAAATTCATCAAGTAAAAATAATGATGACTGACAGGGCGTTGGTGGCACATGCCATTAATCCCAGCACTTGGGAGGCAGAGGTAGTTGGATCTCTGTGAGTTTGAGGCCAGCCAATTCTTCAGAGTGAGTGCCAGGATAGCTCCAAAGCTACACAGAGGAACCCTATCTCGAAAAACCAAAACAAACAAACAAACAAACAAACAACAACAAAAAAAACTGATGACTGTACATCGAGGCTCAAACATGCACTTTCCAATCATATATTCAGATATCCTATTCTACAGATAAACTAACTTAGTATTTTAGGCTTCAGTAAAGGAGTAAAGGTTATGGAACCTAGGGGAATTCCAAAGCAAAACACAGATAAATATTGGAGAGAAAGGCAGAAAAGTGTTAAGATAGGATGGGCGGGAACGAGTCTCTGAGGAATTGCTGTATCAATATAAAATCACAGGATGGGAAAGTATATCTGTGAGCATTCCTGAAGAGACTACTCACTGCAAGTTGCAGCAACACTAATAGACCCAAGGTAGGACATGATTGTTCCCCTTTAACAAGGGAAAGCCAGTGAGTACACAGTGAAGCAGTAGGTGAGGGAGGAATCCAAGTGGACTGACAAGAAACAACCTAACAGGGTCTTACAGGCCAGGGTGAAATTTCACTAATTATCTAAGAATCTGGTAAAATGATTTTAGTGTAACAGCACCATGATCTGACTGGAGGTTTTAAAAAGGATTACTCGGGATATTGAGTTGATTATAGACTGACAAGGAGGAAGTGTGGCAGCAGAGAAACTAGAAAAGTAGCTCCTGAAGAAAAACCACAGCTTTGTTGCCACTGATGGCAATAACAAGAGGCACAAGAGGCGGAGTTCAGCCTTAGAGTCAGAAGGATTATCAAAAGGTCAATGATAGACTGTGAAAGAAAAAGAGGTACCAATAAGATTCCTAGCTGCTTTTTCACCACAGTTTGGGTGAATTGTGACACCATTTACTATTATGAAGTGGTCTGAAAAACATGAAAAGGAAAATTCTTTCTGAGTCATTCACTGTAGATGCTAAATGGGCATTCAAGTGCAGTTTTGTTGAGGAGGAATGTAGACACTCATATTTAACAGATCGGAGAGGAAAGTTTACTATGAATTCGAGAGTCAAGTAGAATCTATTGCTACATTAAGGTAAACAAATCAACAAATACAGAATGAGAAAATGGTTTGGCATGCTGCCACACTGTAAGTGTGGGATGGAAAAGAATTTGAGAAAATAGAGAAGGTGAAATCTGCAAGGTAAGAGGTCAACCAGAAAGATGCAATGTCACAGCAGTATAAGTGTGCAGAATACTATCTATCTGAGCATAAGTTGGTTTGATTTGTTGTGTCTGATGATTTTCTGATATAAATTAACTGTCAATTATTGATTCAACTTAACAATGATGTTGAGTAAACCCACAAATCTTCCTTACTGGGAATCATGAGCAAAGAAGAAAGAATCAGAGATCATATAAATATCAAAAATGAAAATTGTCTATTGGATTTGAAATGGAAGAAGTTGCCGTGACCTCAGAAAGAAGGGAATGGGCAAGATGATGATTTAGAGAGATCTTGTGCAATGGTTTATTACAAGAATGGTACACGATGAAGGGGAGGCAATTACAGTGAGAGCCTGAGTGAACAACTGTACTGGGTTCATTTTCTTTGTGACTCGTGTCATCATCAGATATAGCATTTTTTCTGCTTTATGCTTGTCGTTTTCCCTAACAGACATGTTAATATGAAGTCCAGGGATACATAGATGGTATTGTGTTTATTAGCACATCCTCAAGTCTCAAAATTGTCCTTGGTATATTTGTTTATATGTATAAAGGATTAGATTCATAGCATGCAATTTTATTCACTAAGGTAAACAATGGACAGAATACTGAGTCACTTTCATATTAGAAAATGCATATACCCTATTCTACACCATAACTTTCTTTGCAGAAAGATTAACTGAAGAGCTAAGAACACCCCTGTGCTTTCCAATCAAGAAATGACTGCTGGCCCACCAATTATAAACTATGAAGAGTTATATCTTTTTGGTCAGCAACAATGTGATGAAAGAATGTATCTTCCTTTCCCTACTCACAGGATTAGTGTGTGTGTGTGTGTGTGTGTGTGTGTGTGTGTGTGTGTGTGTGTGTAAAATCTCACCAGAGAAGGATGATTTCTCTGAGTTAAATGTCAGCCTGATCTCTCTGGTTTACATAGCTAATCAAGTTCCAGAGCAGCATGCCAGTCAACATAGTGAGACCCTGTCTCAAAAGAAAAGTGTGTGTATGTTGGATTGGGGGATAAAATTAGAAGACAATAAAAATCTCAAAGTTGTCTACATTTTTCAGTTTCAAATTTTTCCCATTTTCCCACTCAGCAAGCCACCTTTCTACCATCCTACATCTCCCTACTCAGATTTTCAAGATCTTCAGTTCTGTAAATCTTTTCTTCTGAATAACCTACCCTGTAACGACCTCTCCTTTTAATAAATTCTGTATTACTAATTATTTCTTTGGCATCTTGTCCAGAGGGCATAAGCACTCTAAGGAATTTCTTTGCCTTGCAGTATACTCAGATCAATCAAGTACATCCATAACTTACTCAATGCACATTTACTACTTGAATACATACAAGAATAAGTGAATGTAAATAAAGTGCAAATGACCTAAAAAATTTCTCTAGTAAGCACCATTTATTTTTTTATCAGTCCTGCCTGGGAAGTCTTTAGTTCCTCAGGATTCTCAAGTGTTTCTGGATAAACCCTTGTTTGCCTCTAACAGAATCTTTAAACTTTACAAGGATATATAAGGCACTAGAGAAGAAACATTCTATGGCACAGGAAAGTAAAAGACATGTGAAACAAATCATGATTTAACAAAGGATTATTCACTTAGGCAAGTAGACAGGGAATGAATTGGTTTATAAAACTCCTGTTGCTTTTCCAGAATGTAAGCATTATACAAAATTATATATATATATAAATTTATATATATATATATATATATATGTTTATATTCATACAGTAACTTTAAAAAGATATGGGAAGACTAGGCTTATCATTTTAAGTGGTAAGAAATGGGCATTGAGCCTATACTTACTATCTTCTATGTCCCAGCACTGAGTGATTGGGTCCCCATACTTTACATCCTGGCGTCTAGCTCGCCTATGGAAAGAAGATTAGGCTAATTAGATCTTCATATATAATTGGAATATAGAAAGACTGTGTCTCATGCTAACACTGACAGATGCAAACTGTACTTGTGTTACTGTGTAAACTAAATGCATGTCAGAGTTCCAGTCAATCAAACATTAAATTCTTTTGGTAGAAAATTCCAAACAACAAATCCTGCTTTGCATTAATATGTTCAGAATTTCATTTTACTACTTTCTGTTCTTGCTCTGACTTGACAAATTATTCAACAGAACAGATTGAACAGGACTAAGATCCAGGTTTATAAACAAGACACAGGAATAACTTTCCTTCCCCTCCTTCTGGTCAAAATCATAATATACAAAACAGTTTCAGTGAGTAGGAAAGAACATATAAACAAAGAAACCTCACTGTGTCTAAGTTTATTCTATTATACCCTTTGTTCAATAAATTCTGCTCAGTTAGAAACAGAACTACAAGTTCAATATCAAATACATATATACATGTTATTATTATCAATAGACATGTAGCTATCTTTGTAATAGTGAAAATAATACAAGGGATTTTGCATTATGTCACATATTGCCCTCAAAAAGATGCATATCTATTTAAAAAGAAATGCCACATTTCTATTGAATCTAAGTATGTCTTATACTTTCATAAAGTTTCATTGGCTTTGTCTACTTTTAATTTAAACAGAGACTATTTTAATACACACACACAAAAGCCTTAATATTGTATATATTAGCATTTTATTACATAATATTTTGTTACGCACATATGTAATTGTGAGGTGTTGCCATTGGGTTAAATGTATCTATCTCTTTAATTACATTTTGCAATAAAAATATTCAACATCACTACTGGTTTGTTTGAATTGTACAGTTCATTGTTATTACCTTTACTACCCTATGTCACTACACACCAGGATTTCTTATGTCTAATAGTATTGCTAAATCCTCTAAATCTAGTATTGCTAGATTCCTCTTTCCCAGCCTCTCTCTCCAGTCCATGTTGTCACTTCAGAGATCAGAGAAACAGCAGTAACCTTTCTCAGATGCTTGGGGTGCTCCCTAGGGGCAAAGTTGACCAGATGACAACCTTGGAAAAGAGTCATCCATTGTACACAACTGAAACCTCTGATGGACATTATGTTAGGTAAGGGATCACATCACAGTGGCATGTCTCTAAGATCAGAGATACAGTCTTGGGAAATACAGAAAGAAAAAAATTATGATGCTATAAGGAACATAAGGTCATGAATGTTTTTCAATCTTGGCTTCCTCAGGAACGGGATCAATTAATCAAAGTGAACATTTATTGCCAAGAAATGAGCACTCTAGTTTTTCAGCTTCTAGAAGAGAATTCCCCAAAGACTCACTAAGATGAGTCTATTCTGGGCAGAAAAGTTTAAGAAAATGTTAGCAATTATGGCTACACATAATCATATTTACTTACTTATGTTTAATTTATAAACTTTAAAGAACATAAAATGTGTCTCAGTTTTAGCCAATGTATGCAGATGCACAGTTAGTACCTATAAGCTTGGAGTCATAATGTTTAGAAATTGACAAATCAGTGAAATATTTAAAATAAAGTAAATGTGGTAGTGAAACTAATATATGCTCTTCACTTAGAGCGCTAAAAGACACCAAAAGTGGAAAAAATAATTTAAAATGAACATAATTAAAGGCACATATAATTTGTTGACAATTTTGTCATGAAGAACATATACTTTGAATAACACCTTAGAAACAATGTTACTAATATGTACATTAAAAATAATGATGATAAATATTCATCAGACATAAGTATTATTGATAGACATTCATATTATTTCTAATTGTTCTGCTATTAAAATAGTGTAAAAAAGCATATCATATAATTCTGGATAACTCTTACTTGTGTATGTGGAATAACACAATGGTTTAACTTTTCTGGATATTTTCAAGTATTTATAAAATAAAAAGCTACCAATGCCAAGGAAACAGTTTGCTGTTGAAGATTATCTGAGTGACAGAAAAGTTACTAGTTGTACTGTGGGCTGTGTCTAGACTTCCACAAGCATGCTTACTTATAAACAATTTGCAAAACAGTAGATGTGAATATATGCATATTTAAAAATCTGAGAGAAGGAATGTCAAAAAAAGTAGTTAATAAGAACAATTTTGCAAGGTATACAGGATGTCATTATGTAACAGCTCAGGTCATTCTGGAACTCATGTGAATTCTCCTGCCTCAGTCTCTTGAGTTGTGGGATTACAGGCATAAGCGACCATGGTTGGTTAAAAATCCGATATATAATTTATCAGAATTTTTCAAAGTTTCAGAACATCTGTTCTGTCTTCCATACTTTAATTTAATATAAAATGATTGAATATTTTAATTATCATATTCTTTCCACAGGCCAAATTTTCAATTTGTCTTTAATTTAAACTACAAGACAAAGCTTCTGTATGAGAAACTCATGTGGGAGGGAGGAGCACCCTGACCTTTTGGAAGTGGGTGCATATCTTGAGCAAGCATTTCCATCCCAAGCACAGTAGGGGTCTCTGGCAAGACAACAATCCGCACACGCTTTCCCATAAGTGTCACATCTGTGCAAGGAGAGCTGAACCAGTCCATCCCAGGAGCCAACATATAACTGTTGCTGCAAATCAAGCAGAAAAAATGAATCAATCCTATTGCCCACATTAATCTTGAGAACCACTGTTTTGTAACCACTCCTTTTGTAAGTGTCTTGCTACTTTTAAAAAACTAGTAGAATTGTGAAGAAGGGTAAAACAAGTCAACTTCTTCTATGCCTAGCCAAACTCTGTTTTGAAGATGTCGATAATAAAATGGGCAACATTCTAAAAAGCTAAAGTTGGCTTGGCAATAATTTAAGAAGGTAAAAAACAAGCTGCTAGACTGTGGAATTAAGATGTCAAATTCTTTCTCTATAGAAGAAGTTATACTTTGGTAGGTTCTAGCAAGCATAGATATTACAGGCAACATTGATGGCATGCCTCTGCCATGACTCTCAGCATGACAGATGACTAAAAGAGATCCCTGACACTATTTTAAGATGAAGTGATCTCTAGAAGAATATAGGTCACAATTGGGAGAGTAAATGTTTGGTATCTCTATGCAGACATCACCAGGTAGACTTGAACAATACAGCCTTTTCTCATAAGCCGACCTCTGCAGAGGACCCACTCCATCTTCCACAGACAGATCTTTCTAAGAAGATGGTCTTTCATGACATTCCTTGCTTAAAAACTGCAATGGCTTTTGTCTTTAAGCTGTTACGAATCCATCACGAGGACAGGTAGAGACTCACATACTCAGGCTTCCTTCTATTCTTTTACTCCAAGTGCACATATTTTGGGTCAAATTTTATACACACATAGAAACAGGTGTACACCCTTAATTTTCATGTTCTTATTCCTTCATTCTATGCCTCTTTTATTTATTTGGTTAACTACATCATTCATTACTCAGTTTGTCTATATCTTTTGCTATCTCCCTTCTCTTGGTCTTTCTGGTTCCTTTCCAAGTTAATTTCTGCCCATTTTCTTTGGGGTATAAGCTTCAATCATTTATTACCCTCCATTGTCAGTGTGCTCCCTCTCTGTCAGCCCACCCAGAGTTTCTGGAGGAGAGATTGATGCTATGCCACTGGTTCTTTTCTGTATCTCCAGTGCACACTAGCAGTAATTCAAGTAATAAATGCTGTTGAATGAACAAATAAACAAAGAAATACCTCAGAAGCAAACCCATTCAGACTTTCCTCTAATAACTAGGCTTCCAAGTTTAATTGTAACAATGACTTAATGTGGAACCTATGTTATTGGATGACTGTCTTAAATCTGGAGGGTGTGTGTAGAAATAAAATGATAATTCTAAATTTAGTCAATTGAGATGTGGATTATAATACAAGGGAACTGTGAATCATATCATATATATTTATGATTATTCAAATTGGCCACCATTAACACTTACATCGATTTGCTTAAAATATTGGCATGGAACATTCTATTTAAACTTACTGCATGATGGGGATATAGTTCAGTGGTGGAAGAGGTGAAGTGCTTGTCTAGTATTTGCAATGGCCTAGGGTCAATCCCCAGCACTGAGAAAAAGAAAACAAGCTTTTGCTCATTTCTGTCAGCAAACAGTATTTAGGAGGCGGTGTCTGAGTCAGATAATAAGATCCTGTCCCCAGAAAAGTACTCATTAACTTACTTAATGGGTGTAAAACCCAGGGTTTGATGCCAACCCTCACTAAGCAAGTAGAATTAAATAAATTTAAACTCATAACAAACAAAAGAATTTCCCAGTTGAGAAAATTGGTTCAGAGTTTGTTATTGAGTTAAGGATTGAAGGTTAACTCTTCAGTGTTGTGTACCATGGTTCATATTTTTGAAATCCTAGATTCCCCAATTAACAACCCTTTTTAATGCTTGAGATTGGCATCTTAAATACATGTCTTACGACTTAAGCAAAAATACAATCTCAGGAGAACAGACACCCACTCTGTTTTTGGAGGCAAAGGAAGGGAGCACATACTGTTCACTATTCTGTTAGTATGTTTCTCTCCATTCTCCCATTGTAAGGCTGAAGCAATGATTTCTGATCATCAGAGGAGAAACAGGCAGCCTTCAACTTTCTTAATTATTAACAGCTTAACTTCCAGTCTCCAGTTTCAATAGTTTCTGCACATCAACTTTGATTCAGGGAACTTCAGGCTTCTGAAGCTAATTGTTAAACAAAAATTACAAAGTACCTGCTTCAGTGACAACTCCATGTTCAATATGGCTGTTGGGTGCTGCAAACAGAAGCAAAATGTCAGTAAAAAACATTTACATCTTTATGGTAATCAGTATATTGTTTTAGTTTACACCAAGCTTGGCTGTCCAGACTATCAGTGAGAGGAGAAAATTAACTTATTCCTTGCCATTTTCTTGCAATGTGTATTGATTCTATGGTACCAGACTTGACGAAAGGGCTTGATGTGTTTTAAAAGAGAAAACCTAGCTAACTGTATAAGGAGGTGCTGTACTGAAAATGCTTCCTAGTTCTTCAAAGGTTTTCACAATGTTCTAAATGTGCCTTTCTTAATGCCGGCATATAATTCATAATAGTGCTGACAAGTACATCTCCATATTTATTTATTGCTCCATTCTGATGTTACTTGTAGCAAAAATTCAAAACATGTTTAAAGTAACAGAATTTAAAAAGTTGTGGTTCTGTTTGTTGATGGTGATATTCTTTATGTGATACCTCAAAATATCAGCATGTGCAGTTTCATGACATGGATCAGATTTTATTTCTAATAAGAACACAAGCATGAGTAGAAAAGCAACCAAACAAAAAAAAAGGAAAGAAAACTTTTAAATGTATCTTACATATCTATTATCTATCTCATATTTATTCATTTATTGATTTTATGTACTAATTTACAAACTATAGATGTTAGGTATTTAAGATGATCTACAAAATAAAAATTTGAAGTTAAAAAGTTTGTTCTAATAATTTTTTGTTGTTGGTAATTTTAAAAAGATGGCCATGATCATTAAATTGTGTTTGGGTTTTGTTTTGCTTTTAATTGCATTTTACATTAACAAATTTGCTAAAGACAGAAAGGAGATACAGGTAGAGCATAGAAGATAAAGGAGTGGAGATTAAGGAAAAGAGAGAAGAAATGAGAGGAAAGGAGAAATGAGAAGAAGGGAGGGGAGGGGAGGAGAGGAGAGGAGAGGAGAGGAGAGGAGAGGAGAGGAGAGGAGAGGAGAGTTTGGGGGACGAAACTCAATGGTAAATTGTTTCCACGTGAAAGGCCATAGGTTTCATCTCCGGCACTAAAACATAGACATAAATTGATGGATTGATCGATCAATAGATGCATGGATAAGAGGAAGAGAGGGAGGAAGAGGAGGAAAAAGAGAAAGAAAGAAAGAAAGAAAGAAAGAAAGAAAGAAAGAAAGAAAGAAAGAAAGAAAGAAAGAACTATGGTCATTAGGATAACAGTCCATCCTTGACTCTAAGACCCATTGGAGAAGATTTGTTTTCTTGCATGTGTGTGTATGTGTGTGTGTGTGTGTGTGTGTGTGTGTGTGTGTGTGTGTGTGTGATAGAAACTCCCTAAGCCTCTGTTCATTCACCCTTATGTTTGGCCTCAAGTTTTCCCTTAGGAACCACCCAGGATTTGTTTTGGAAGAGGCCAGATAGCAGGTCTTGTTCTTGTTAACTTCTTGACCACTATTATCATCACATGTAAACAGGATCCTGGAAACCCAGCATGATATTTAACTCCCTTCACAGTGGAGGACTCATCTCTTTCCAGACAGTGGATGTTTGCATGGAAACAGTTTTTAATAAACTTTTTAAAACAAAACAAAAACATAAAAGAACAAATTTTCTAAAAAAATATAACATTATTTCTAATGTCTTATTTTTTCATGAAATAATTCTAAATACCTCAGAGTAGCTACAAAGAATTCCTACCACATTAAAATGTGTTTATTGTTAAAAGCAGAATTTAAAACAAAGAACTCTTCCTCCAGGTTTACTAACTTCCATTTAGAGGTGAGAGGATTGTGTCATGCATAACTTATTATAGTTTAATTTTTTTCAGTACAGTAAATCCTATACATGATTCATAAACTTACCCAGTTTTCACAAATCCATTTGGGAAATCATTGCAATGTTACATTCATAAAGTATAAAAGCATCGGGTAGTATGTGATACCAGGCTTTCAGTCCATGTGGCCATTTGACTGATTATATGCTTGGAGAATACAATAGAAGAGTCGACCCCAGGGGCCTCTGTCAGTGGTATCCAGCAGCAGTAGTGAATGCCTTTCCCACTTGCTTATATGACCTACTCTAATGCTTAGGCCAGAGAAACAGTGGACACTCATTTGGACTCTTTCTCCAGGAAAACTCAGAGAAAAGACAAAGTGTGAATGAACAGCACTGTCTAGTCGCAACCTCTGTCTGGCGCCCTGGGTGCTCTCTCACCTTGAACACCTGGAGCTCCTCTAGTACTACCTCTTCCATATTCCACTTTTCCTTGGAAATGCTGACAACTTTGAGCACCGTTCCAATGTCTGAAAAAAAAAAAAAAAACATGGACCCATAAGCCCACTCTTTCTATTTCAATCTTTAGTTGAAGGCATGTACCTTGAAAATCTCAAAAAATCTGAAAAATCCCTCACATTTTCCTCTGGATGCTTTCCAAGAAATCTGCCCAAGTAAAGTAGTAAGAAATGAAGCCTATGGTATATGTTGTTGCCCTTCCAGAGCAGATACTTATAAAGAGAGTACAAGGCAAAATACACAGCAGTTTTGTAACTGTACATATGTATGTATGTATGACTAATTTAAATATTGGTTGAAATAGCAGAAGTGAAACAAATTTTTAATTTTATTGTTTAGATGTGAAACTATGCTAAAATAAAAGTTAAATAAACATATTCATTTCTCTTCAAAAAATTTACTTAGAAACTTTATCTGATTCACTATAAACAAAATGGGATTATACTCTTCTAAAATGTGAACAAATGGACCAGAAAACAAATGGATCTTTTTATGGTCAAAACAAACTAGTCCTTCAGCTATAACGTGTTTTCAGAATAATTGTTAATGGGTTAAAAATTACAGTGTATTCAAGTTATTTCAGCTCAAGCTTAAAAGAAACCATGAGTTTAATGATACATATCAAAAATGATGTTTAGAGAAAGTATCTTAAATAATTGTATAAGGAATGCACTGTGGCTGTTTAGCATATAAGTATATAAAGATGATCAAAAGTTCACTACTAAAAAATGAAAATAGAGTTACCACTTTACAATTACTCTATTGAAAACATGTCTTTAAAATTCTGAGCAGTGGGGATTGAGAACAGGGACATTCAGTAATATCACTATGTGTAGAAAATTGCCTAGATTGCTTAATTTTTTAAAAACATGACTCTGTGATGTTCAAAACCGCTCAATACATTTTTATAATACAACATTTACTTTTTAAAGTCACCATATTTCTCTCAGGAAAGGTTAGGTACTACCATCTAGTGGCTGAGTGCTGTTTATGGTAGTGAACTTAAGGACCTATGAACCAGCTTTGGATGGCCAGAGCAAATTAAATTTAGCTCCTGAGAATTAATAACATACTAATTAAAGCTCTAACCCTTAAATAGCCATCTCTGCAGTCTCGGAAATGGAGCATCCCTTAGATTATCTAGGGTTTGCACTTGCCATCTGTAACATAATCAGGCTTGACAGCTGGTGCCCAAAGGCCCTAGCTCTGACAGGATCTTTCCTAATAGCTTAATTTCTGCCAAACAGTTGTAGTTTTCAAAATTTAAGTAATTCTAAAGTTGTTTTATATTCTTAAGAAACTGTTCCAATAAAACATCTAGCATTTAAACTCATTAATTTCTACCACAGAAATGGTAAGTTTATTAGGTAGTACATGTAATACAGGATAAGGTTCTGAGAGTCCATGCTGTCTTTACTGCCACTAAAATAGTGCTATTACATAGTGTTTTTCTTAATTTTGGGAATCACAGAATAAGAAACAATTCTTTATGTAAAAATGTATGCATATATGTGCATATTAATGTATACATATATTTCTGATCACCATTTAACTGCACAGGCTAAACAATTTCAGGAAACACAGGCAAGGTATTAACTGATATTTACTTGATTTGGGGTCACAAATATTTTGGAACTTTTTGCTTTCTTTATCCACTAATGAACACTTCAATTTCTTGGACTGAAAGTGTGGTTTCAGGGTACCTGTTCCGAGAAACATGACATCATACTGTCCGTCTTCAGCGACCACGTGATCCACCGCTATCTGTGTCAGTCTGTAGTCCACATTGATTCTCTTGAAGGTTGGTGCTCCTGCCACTGGGTACACCGACTTATACATCACCGGATGCCGCCGAATGAAACTGATGACATCATCAGGAAAGTCTCGGGTGGATTTAATCATCGGATCATAGGTTCTGCTTGGACACTGAAAAGAAATGTGTACAGGAATAAACGTACTGCATACACACCTGAGAGGTGCATGCCATGGTGATCACACCACTGTGCAATAAATGCAGACTACCTCCAGTAGAGTGAAATCTGGGTTTCTTAGTATAAACATTCAAAATTATCTGACATTATCTGAGTTTGCTAGTGTTTCCCCAGTGTAATCTTACATTCTTAAAAAAAGATTATTGTTTTGAATAAAAATTAACATTTTTAATTTTTATTAAAATTAAATAATTTTAATAAAGGCATGGTGGTACATTTCTGTAATTCCAGAACAGGGTCAGGGCAGGAGCATCCAGACTCAGGGGCAGTCAAGACTAAAACAGAGTTCAAGGCCGACCTATGTTACAGAAAGAAACCAAATCTCATTACCCCACTAAAACTTTCTAATGATGTTACTAGAAACTTATATTGAAGAAACTGCTGTAAAACCAATCTATAAACACAAGAATGTATGGAAAAACTTTATTTTTAATTTTAAATAAATTTAGGATTCCCTTCCAATTTAGCTACATTCATTAAAGATTAGAAGGAACAAATCAACAAGTCACACAATTAGCTACAGCTGCTGAGAAAATTAGATTTTGTCCTGCCCTGAACACTCTTCCACTAAGCCTGGGCTCTGTGAATACATTCAGGCCACTTTCCACCTCTGCCTAAAACAGCTTCCTGAGAGCACATATTAAAGAAAGAGTTAGCATCAACTGCCCTCTGGTGGTCACACTTAATTTACTCCAAGCACAACTTGATATAAATTCTCTGAATTTGATGTGCAGTTATCCAAAGAAAAGAAGGAATGACATTACCATTTGAATATCTTACAAGGTATATACTCTTTCATGTCATAAATTTAATTGTTGTTTCAACAACTGCATCCTAGCCTTTAGTAGAAGGATAACATCATCACATTTCAAATCTTAATGGAGAAATACTGTTTTTAGAATAAAAACTATTTAATCAATAGAAGTGTATAGAGGAAAGTGAATGACATCAGAGAAAGCCTCTATTAAAAGGATGTTGACATTATCAAAATAAAATAAAAACTAAACAAAAATCTTAATTTTTTTCTGAAAAAGATGATGCAGAATAAAGTTCCCACTGGTGAAAGTCATTTATATCAGGCACTAATTAGATTCATACCAGTACTTCAAAGTCTCCTTCTCAGAGGTCAAGAGAGGTCAAGATCCTGGAGGAACTGATAACTCTAAATTTCATACCAATAAATCGCAATGACCCATTATGAAGCAGTGTCTATTAAAGAAGTTGTATTCAATTTTTTAAAGACCCATTAGTGATTTTCTAACTAATTGAAGAGTATCTTTTACAAAAGTCTTTCATGTCTTCCATTAAGAAACAGATCCTTTCCTGGTGTCTAGTTATTTGTCCCAGGTCTTTCTGACAGAGAAATGCCCTGCACTGTTAGCCATTTGCTTGCCTGCCACTGGAAGTTGGTCTGCAGATCGAAGTCTCTGTGTCCCCTCACTGCTTTCTGCATTTCCCCTTTATCAAAGGAGAATCTGTCAACTTGACAGTGGAAGGAACCCTACATGGAATAGATTGAGTCAAACTTGAAATGAATATAGACATAGATAATATTGAGCTCTTTGCCAATTATAGATATACATTTGAGTCTTACTCAGTAGCCATTTCCGAAGGGGATCATGTCTCAAATTGAACCTCCAGTTCAATTTGAATATTTGTAAATAAAAGTAAGATTTTACCTACATCACAAGTTCGAAAGAGCCCTTCAACTTAAGTGGAAAATATCTGCTTAGACTTTATATATCCGTAGTTTCACACTTGCCAGAATTTCGAAGGACATAATTCATGATATTCAAGTCACAAGTTTTGGTATCCAAATTGAAAATAATTACACTCTTCTCTCTAAGACACTTCAACTTAATGAAGATCTCATCATTTAGCAAATATGTAGCCGGCAGTGTTCCTTCCAACTTGCCTCTAATAGGTTCTGAAAGATTCACATGTAATAAAATCTAAGGGATAAAAAGAGAAGAGAAGGGGAAACCTGGTTTCTATCGACAGCTACAGAAAGATTTTGGAAATACATTTTCTTCTTAGGGCAGCTTCCCCCGTGGCATGTTGGCAGTGTTCGGCTGAGACCCTTGGCCCTGCGCAGCTAGTTGTGAACTCAGGTCCTCAGCTCTTTGCTGGCAAAGCGAAAGCGGTTTCAGAGTGTAATGACTCTGAGGGTTAAGGCAGGACAGGATGAACCTAATAGTGTTGTTTTAGGACATTCAATCCAGGGACATTCACTTTAGTAACACACAGCTGAAGATGCCCAGCAGCTATGTTGGTAAAGCAGGAAAGAAAATCCTATAAAGGGCAAACAAACCAACAAAATGTAAAGAAATACGACATTTAAGGAAAGCCATATTTGGTTATTAATTTTCTTTCAATGATCCCCACTGAATCTGTATATCCTAGGTGTTACTGTGAGGTAGGCGTGCATTCTTTTAAATTTGTAACTATTGTCACAATTCATCTAACTAGCCCACCCCATGTAGCATTTCTTTCTTCCTGCGTATTCATAGCATTTTTTGCCACCTATGAAAAGCAGGAATCCTAGTTGGTTAACTGTGTTCCACTTGCTCTTCACAAAAATTCTTTTGACAGTTTAAGCTTTGAGAGAAGAAAAAGATAGGCCAGAAAGCTTTTAGTCAGACTTCACATTGTTGTGGCAAGACACCAGAGAGCAGTGAAAAGTTTCTCTGCTCAATGCTGCTGGCTACTTTCTGCTTTGTCCAGATCCCTGCTTTCTGCTTTGTCTAGGTCCCGTCTAACAAATCAGCACAATGGCTAATGTCACAGAAGTCATGGCACAAGGAAAGACCAAACTGGGCTTCCTACTTCTGAAACTGAGGAAACAAGCACAATGTTTTATGTGTGATAGGTGAAAAAGAAGTATTATCATTTGAAAATGTGAATTTTGTAAGTGGAATTTTATTCCCTTTGTTATTCCTCTAAGTATCTAGTACAGGAAGAGCCTGCACTAGAGAGTTAGGAAGATTTGCCTAAATATAAAGCCATTACAACACAATAAACCATACAAAAAATAATCCAAGGAACTTGAACTTTTTGAGCTCCGCTCCTCTGTCTTCAGATTCCCTTTCCCTTACAGACATTCCCATAACCAAAAACAAAAATGAAACAAAAAATCAAGATATTATTATTGAACACAATGGGTAGTTTAGAAGCCAAGGTTGTGACTTTTAAACAGCTGAAAAACAGTGAGAGATGTGAATGTATATTTAAAATAAGTTGCCTTTCACTGATTTTGGAGAAGCAGCTAGATCAACTTAGTCCTGGAGTGGTCATGATGTCTGTTCTGATGTCTGTTCTTCCTTTAGGCTAAGGAAGTTGTGTTTCCTGAGATACAGCTCTGCTGCAAACTTTCAAACTAAGAAATTCACAGAATTCTCACAGTATGTGGACCAGCTAGCCTTCTGGAAGACTAAAGTTACAAAAATCAATAATACTAGCTATGACTCCATTTAGTCTCTATCAATAAGGTAGAGAATTAGAATAAATATTTGTTTTGATGATTAAAATGAAGCAGAACATTTTGACAGTAAACACAGTCAAATGAATTAAAATGAATTAAAAGTAAATTACTATTTTTACATAATTTGAAAACTGGGGCAAAATAGTTCAAGGGTAGTGGACCATATCTACATTGTAAAAGCAAATTCTCTTTTTAGCAATGGGCAGAAGAATGGTTTAAAACTGAAGCCTACTTCTGAGTAAACACTGGGGAGCATTTGACATTAATGTGCACATTATGAAAATGCCTTATCAGGACTGGAGAATAGCTCAGTCAATAACATGCTAGCCAGACAAGCATGGGGGCTGACATCCACTTGTGAGTAGCCACATGAAAAACCAAGTTTTTTTTTTTTTTTTTTTTTTTTTTTTTTTTTTTTTTTTTTACACAGCAGTAACCCCAGGATTAGAGACACAGAGATGGAGGGATGCCTGGGGCTGGCAGGCAAGATGCAGATGGTCTTGCCAAATTGGTAAACTCAAGATTCACCAAGAAACTCTGTCTCCAACATAATAATATACAAAGAATGATAGAGAAGGACACCCAACATCAATTTCAAGCTTCCAGATTCATATGCACCCATGTGCACACACAACATATACAAAAATAAAACAGAACACACACACACACACACTCAATTCTTTCTCAATACAGAATTAAACTATAAAATAAACTTCTTTATTTGCTAAAACTGTACTAAATTATTTCTAATAAATCAAATCATAAAATTGAAACCGCCCTTTACAAATCTCCCTGATACTGAAGTATTTTTCAGACTATTATTTTTATCCAGTTTGGTTTCCATGTCTGCTTTTTATCATTTGTTTTTTGTTTTGTTTTGTTTGGATATTTTATCTCAGTCAGAACCTCACAGAACCAAACCAAACAGGAAATTAAAGATTCTACAATTTCATCCCAACAAAACCTGGTTTGTTCAGAAGCTGCTCTCTTCAGACACCAGAGGGCAGAAGAATCACTGAGGTAAATTCTTTGCAAGTGTGCAGGTTTATTAACTTAGAGCATCATGGACTAGGAATTGAGATTTGGCATTGGTCCACAGTGGGACAACATTCTATCAAAAGCAAGAAAATTAAAGAAGATTGGAATGACCCCATGCCTGTAAGCATTTAACTGAGGTTGCTACTGGGATATCAACTCAGTGTTCAATCATAAAAGTAATATGGAGACAGAAAATACAAAAGCAAAGACCCGAGTCAATGTATATGAAACAAATTGTATATTTAGCAAGTCTTTCACTGAAGTTAAAACCATTTCCCTGGATTCAAATAAATAATTCAAGTATCACACTGCTACAGACCTTCATAATACTTGTATAGAAGACAAATCAGAGCAAGGAGAAACAAACCAGGATTCCAGTTGTTTTGTTATCACTCAAAAGGCATCAATATATATGCAGCTCTTCATATAGCTTAAGGTAAGCCTATCACTTTAGAAGTTATGAGACCGTGAACATGCATGAATGGTGGTTGATATTCCTCATTTATACAACTGTGCTAATGGATCAATACTATGATTATGTTATAAATATGTATGAATCATTTTGGGTATATTAGCATAAATCTGTCATCCTAGTACTTGATAGGAAGGGTCAGGAATTCAAGGCCATCTTTGGCTACATAACAAGTTTGAGGCTTCTCTGGGATACATTAAGATCTGTCTCAAAACAACAAAAATAATGTAGTGAAACACCATGTAAGTATATATCAAACTTTCCAAGTCATAAGGAATATTTAGTCATAATTTTATATAAAATTTCTGAATTGGAGGAAGAATATAGCTCTATAGTTTTGTATTTTTAATAAGTACTGACAGGAGACTGTGGTGGAAGATGATATAAAATAAAATTAACTAATTTCAGATAGGTAGGAAGGCATATATTTATATGGGGAATGTTAAGAGAGAGGTAAATATTGTATCAAAGAACAAAGGAATGACTGACCATAAAACTCTACCAAGCAACCCCCTTCATTTTGCTGGTTGGGTAATATGAGATTGGGTATGTTATTTAATTATTTTGGACACTGGTTTCCCCCAGTGTAATATGAGGGTGAGTTATGATGTCTCTATCACTCATTCTAACTCTTACATTCTCAAATTTTACAAGGTCAGTCACTTGATAGTCTGTGAAACTTAATTTCGCTGATTTTGTAAATGTGGTTACTTAAAGTGGTAAAGTTCATTTGGTAAAAGCACTTGGGTAATAGATTTTCACATCAGATACTTGGTATTTCTAACTCAATGTCAGCATTACAATTAAAATTAATTATTTTTAAATAAATTACAAATACTTGCAATGTAGAAACAGGATGATCATTACAAGCAAATAAAATAATGATTGAAAAATAACTGAATAAGTAAAGAAACAAAGAAGTTAAAAACCTATGCTTTATTTTAGCCATTTCAAAATTTGATTATAGCAATTTTCAGTGTATAACAGTAGAGACCAGCATATGTGACATATTTTGTTTCTTTTTCTTTTGTCACTGATGAAAAACACTAACATAAGCATTTTCTGATTTTGTGAGAGATACCAATTGCTATTTCTGAGAATGAGCTTAGACATGTGATGTATAATAAGTATTCTGTAAGCCTTCTATAATATTTACAGCTTTTTCAGGCATTAGCTGAGAAAATGGTGACAGTAAACTTGACTGCAGTTTCTTTCACTTATAACTACAAAGTAATGTTGGTATGGAGTTATGTTGATAATTGTTTTCTATTAACGAGTATGATAAGATTCAGTGGTTATATCTGTGCATGAAAATTATTTATTGTAATTAATGTAGATTGTTCCTGTTCCAAATCCTTCCACTTATAATACCCAGATAATTGGAAGCAGGGGTATTGTGATGTCTTGAATTCAAATCAGTACCAAAAAAGTATGATCATTCCTAGATTCATAGCAATCATATTCCATGTAGTAAAGTTGTGGAACAACTCAATGTAGCTTGACAGAAGTACGCGCAGTGAGTTTTCAAACACACACACACACACACACACACACACACACACACACACACACACACACACACACGTATGCACACACCCCACTGGAATACAATTAGCCATAAAAAGGAAAGAAATTTTACCATATATAAGATGAAAAAGCTTTTAGGATGATGTTGAGTTAACCAATCCACCCACAGAAGTTTATGAATTGCTTATACAAAGTGTTGATGTGGTTAAATTCATAGAACCAAAGGAAAATAAGGTGGCTATCAAGGCATAGGGAGAATAGAAAAGAGAAAGGAGAGCACTGAAAACAATGGACACGTCGTCTCACTCAAGATTTATCATCTCGACACACCTGTTATACAACCTTTAGCTCTATGCTGCATGGTGGTATATTGCAAACTTAAAAATGTAAGAGGTTATATCATAGGTGAGGTGGGGTTTCTCAATAATGTTGCTGCCTGAGGTCACTCAGGCTCCTGAAATAAATCCTTCACCCCTGTAAGTTACACCAGGAAACTCACTGGTTCTCCAATCTAGATGCAGATGTAATCATTTCTTTGATCTCTCAAGGAGCTCTCTCTGGTGTTTTTACATTTACCCAGGAAAAGTCACCCTCTTTCCAAATAAGTAAACAAATAGCAACATAATATAAATATAAAAATTTGACAAAAATAACATACCTCCCAAATAAATAAATAAATAAATAAATAGGATATTAAATACCCAATAATCAAAGCAGAACATCATGGAAACAAATTTATACTGAGGAATAATTACAAGAAAATACAAACAGTTGCATAATAATACATACAAGTTTAGTTACATTTTGTAACAGGAAGATAATTAAGAAAGTCCAACTACCAGTCATTGCCTCTTAAGAATAAGCACAAAAAGGAAATACTAAGTAGAATTTGAAGGCTTAAATCAATTTCTTTTGATGATTATTTTAGATATCTTTGTGGAAATTTTTAGAATCCTTAAAAAGATATGTAGGACATGAACTTTCTTGACACTAAGTTTCTAAGAGTTTGTGCACTTGGGTTTTTGTTTGTATACATGTGTTCATGTCTATGCTTACATGTATATCTGTGTACCTGCATATGAAGCCTGGGGTCAGTATAGGTGTCTTCCATGGCTTTATGCCTTATTATTTTTAAGACAGTGTCTCTCATTGATCATAAAGCTCAAGGCATTTGGCTAGAATGGCTAACCAGAAAGCCCAAGGCATCTTTCTATCTCTGCCTCTCAGCGGTTACAGGCATGTACTGAAGCAGCATCCAGATTTTCTTCCCTGAGACAGAGTGTCTCTATGTAGCCCTGGCTGTCCTGAAACTCACTCTGTAGATCAGACTGGCCTTGCTTGAACTCAAGAGATCATCCTGGTTCTGCCTGCCTGGTGCTGGGATTAAAGACATGTGCCGTCACTGCTAATCACATCCAGCTTTTTGTCTGGTTTCCCGGGATCTAAACAATATCGCTAATGCTTTCACAGTTAAGGGAACCATCGTCCAAGCCCATTTTTCTTTTTAAGCAAATGCATAAATTGTAAAATACATTTTATTTTTTGTTGTCCAGCTTTAAATATGGTTTACACCATTTGAAATCAATGTGGACTAAGAAGAACCTTCTCCTCCCCTCCACTTCCTCCTTGTGCCAGTAGCTTCCCTTTCTAGCCTGCTTAGGGGATGGCCTCAAATTCAAATCTTACTACATCTTTCAGGCTGCTGTGATTACAATATATTCCATCAAATTGCCTTGTACCCTGGGTTATTGAGAATTTCTTCCACTCTAAGAATCATATATTATTTCAAAAGCCCAGCATAATAAAGAAGAGACAGACAGATATCCAGTAGGAGATGATTTAAATGAATCTCTTTAAACAACAGAGCCTTTAAAAGAAACAGACACTAAGAAATTCTAGAGATGTATACAAGATATATGCAGAGATATAGAACAAAACAATTTCTCAGTTGGCATTTTCATCTAATTTACAAAATTTGCATTTGGAATAACTAAATTGACATATCTGAGCTAAATTTTGTAATGCCATAACAATGCATCCATCACAATACAGGCCAGTGTGTTCCTTAGTACTTAAAATTATCATTCAAAAAATTTTAATTTAATTCATTTGAATATTGGAAATACTAGTATATTGCTATACAAAAATAACAGTAATTTCAAAATTGACAGCACATGTAGCTTTAAGAAATGGCATAGCTGGTAATAATAGAATAAGGAATTGAATATGGATTTAAGAAAATAATTCAGTTATTTAGTTGGGTACATACCGTCCCGGGTCGGGGATAAGGTATCCTTCCATCATACTGGACCCAACGATGGTCTGCACTTTCCTTGTGAGCATATGGGCCATTAAAAACTGCTCTGATGTCAGCCATGCTGTACACACAGACAGCGGAGCCTTTGAAGATGGAGCTGAAAGAAAGGAACATGGTCCAATCATTCACCCAGTGAGCACATATCTGCACCCAAGAGCTGTGTGGAATATCTATGACACATTCCAGTAGATAGGCAGTGCCAAAATATTTGCCTATGTCTCGAAGGAGTTTTTTTTTTTTTGTAAGTAATTCTGACTAACAAATGATGATGATGGTGATGATGATGATGATGATGACGACATCTGCCTTACAGCCTTACGGGTAGGTAATGGAAGAATGCAGCAAGAAGGGAATGAGAGGGTTGCCAAGTGGATCATCGGGAACCCTCAGGGAACAGGTGAGCTCTACACTGACACCTAATTGTTAATAAGAATCATTTAAAGTGTAGTTCTCAACTTTCCTAATGCTGGACACTTGAATACAATTCCTCATGTTGTGGTGACCCCCAACCATAAATTATTTTCATTTCTACTTCATAACTGTAATTTTGCTACTGCTATGAATCATAATGTAAATATCTGAATGTGGGATATCTTATTTGCAACCTCAAAGGACCCACAATGTACAGGTTCAGAGACACCGATTCATAAAAAAAAAAAAAAAATGTAGGATAGAAACGGTTAAGTAAAAAAAAAAAAAAAAGAAATGATTAAGTATAATGCTTACTCTCATATTGCTTAGTTTTTTAAATCACTATAATACTTACAAAGAGCTTAACATATGAAGCTGTATTATCTATGTTTAAAATAGTAATCATACCAGTTATCTGTCTTTTTGAAACTTCTTTTTTTGTTCTTTTTTTGTTATTATTGCATTTGTATATGATCCGTAATTCTGAAGGAGGGATAATCTCAATTCTCTTTTTCAACCATTGTTGGGATAGAACTACGGTTGTCATGCCTGTATGCTGACTGAGTGTTTGCTGACTGAGCCAATTTCCTGTCCTTTATCAGTCTACTAAAACTGCACATTCTGAGTTTATGTACTGAATGTGTTGTTCACATGATTTTTTTAAAACAAATTTAAAGTCAGAAATAAACTTTCATTTCTTAAAGTGAGCTTATGAATTATAGTCATCTACTTAATACTTAATGTGGTCATAATCATGTGGTTTTAGTAGAAATGATAAGCAGACAAATTTTTCACAGGAATTTTAAAATTCACAAGACCAAGATGACAGTTGTTAGCACCCTGCAGGTATTTCTTTTTTGCTTTATTTTGGGAATGTAAATTGCACTTTCTTGGAAGCCTGTTCTTAAAATTAAGATGAACCTTTCTGACCAAATGATGTCATCCTGGCTTTACGCAAACTAATGTTTCTTTAACATGAAAAGGTCGATAATGAATATTCTTAGAATGGTGTCATTGGGAACCATCAGAAGGTAATGGTACACAGGCAGATAGGAGGAAAGTGATAGTGTGATAATAATCACGTATCTGCAGATTATATTTTAAAGAAACAATGCACCATTATGAAAAGCTAATTACGTCTTTTCTCTAGACAAAGTATATGACATACATTCCAAAATTACCTCAGTCTTCAGGTCAACATTAAAAATAAAACAACAAAGAACACCAGGAACAAAGAGCTGATTTGTAACTTCACACTCTGGGTGGGCAGAAACTTGATAGGGGAAGAAAAAAAATGAAAGAAATGTCTTAGGGCTCTGTGTCCCTGGCACATATCTACCTCTGTGTGTGGAACACACATCTACTTCAAAGAAAGATTTTGCATGGAAAGGGGCCAAGAAAACGAGAGCTGAGATACATGAGCCGTTGCAGGCACTGCTCCTCATCTTGCATTTGTATATACTCATTGCACATTAATAGGAAAATAGATTCCCAGACAACAGTTCTTAAGGTATCTTCCTGATGTTCCTGTTAAAATATTTCCACCTTAAGTCTCACAACTAATCAAACACTCTGATGTATTCTGAATCCATAGGAAGTTCCAGCTTATTAGGGTGTTGCTATGGAAAGAAACAAATTGTAAATTGTAGGAATTTATTCAAAGGGAGGTAGCAGAGTCATTTCTTTCACTATGGATAACAATATATCCAAGTCCTCAAATATTAATATCAAAGCACATTAGTAAAGAGTTAAGGGAAGATATATGCAAAACTGAGAAGTATTCTAGGCAAGCAATGGAAGTATCTTTGTACTTAAACAGTCAAAATAAGTAATTGAATGAAATAGGATGAAGACATTTATAAAATGTTTGTAGATGCTGCCACAAACTTTTGGAAGTCACAGAATCTCAGTGATAATACAAGGCAGCACTATGCATTAACCAGGCAAGAATATAGGCATAAAAATGATGACAGTCTGGTCTTATTGATAAGAATGGGCCACTAATTTTAGAGAACACTGTAGTGGACTGGTCAGAGCAGCCACATCTACCTGTGCGGTTGTGATTTGATAGGTTGAGGCAGCAAAGCTCCATCCTATGATGGATTACATCTTCATCAATGAACTTAGTCCTTCTAGGGTCACACATCTGGAAAGCACTAATTATGAACATTATATGTATATTTTTATACCTAACAACTCTATGCCATGACTTCATTTTAGAGATATGCTTGTTCATGTGTGCTGTGGCATGAGCTCAGGTGAGTCATTGATGTTTCATGTGTAGCAGAAAAAGACCGAAAATAACAGGAATGGACTGGGGATTGGGTGCAAGTTATCTGTGGTAATTAGCATAGTGGCTACCAAACTGGTATAAAAAGAATGAAGTGAATTTCTAAGAAACACAAAAACCAGTTCAAAACATATATGTACTATGGAACTGTGAAGGAAAATTAAAAAGATCATCTAGCATAAGGTACCCCTAACAGACTCGTGTTTTTTAGCAACTGTTCCCAAGTTGGTAGTGCTATTTTGGAAGGTTGTAGATCCTTTGGGAAGTGGGACCTCAATGAGAAAGTGGGCCTCTGGGGAGTAGGCCTTGATGATTACAGCCCAACTTGGATTCTGGCCCTGGTCTTGCTTTGTTTCATAATTCTCTCAAGTGTGAGCAAGCTCCTGGAGCATACCATGATGGATTACATCGTTGCTCTTAAAAGTTGCTTCTTTTGGATATTTGATTACAGTGATAACAAGTAACTGCTATACCTATGCTCCTGCGGGGCTGGAGATGAATCTCAGTAGAGAGTATTAGCATGTAAATGTCGGTGAAACAAACAAGCCAACAACTATTTGGCTCATATACATGAAAATTTTCAAGGACTAAAAGCGTTCTTTTTGGGGCAGGAGAGATGGCTGAGGAGATAAGACTGCATGCTGTTCTTGCAGAGAACCAGAGTTTAGTTTCCAGCCCTCACTGCAGGCAGTTCATATCTGCCTCTAAATCCCAATCCAAAATAGTAGATGTCCTATTCTGGCCTCTATAGGCATACACCTACATATATGTACACACAGACACAAACAAATAAATATATATAACAAAACAAAGCAAAAGTCTTTTTAAAGCTTAAATTAAGAAAGTACAGAATGGACTCTCATCGGACTGGCAAGATATGAGTTTGACTGGGAGCAAAGAACCTCATTATCCACCACAGGCAAACCACTTACACTGCGGTGGCCTTTCTATTGTGTCAGCTTCACCAGACTAACATCTCCAATTATGCAAACACAAAGCTAGTGACTCAGATGAAGGTATTTAATAGATATGATCAAAAGACATGATCACATGATTTTAAGGAGATTATCCTTGATGATCTGGGTGAACTTGATTCAATAAATTCACAGATCTTTTAAAACCCAGCTGGGATATACTCAGATTCTGCCACTGAAGTAATTTGGGCCATGTTGAGAATTCAGCTTCCCTGCCTTTTCCCAGCAGCCTGCCTTTTGGATTTTGGAACTGCCTAGCAAAGCCCCATGTTCTTGTAACCTATTTCCTTACAATAATTCTCTTCATAGGTTAAAAAAAAATTAACAAAAGGATTGCGTTCAACCTACCTGGTTGTGGTAAAGACTCCATATACTACGGGATTTCTTTCATCTCTCGTAGGGAGTAAATAAATGTCTTCTGTTAATGGAAAAATAATTATGTAGCATATTTTTTCAGTATTGCATCTGATTTTAATAATATATAATACTTCAAGAACTATAAGCAGCATACAAAATAAAGATGAATCACTACAATATTAAGTGCTTAAGGGTAAAAGCTTTCTCAGTTATTTGACTTTACCTCTTAGTGGTATGCGTTAACCAAGTGTAAATGAGATGAATTAGTTAGCAGTTTCCATGACACTTTTCAATTAAGAATATGTGAATTCGTATAAAATGGAAACAGTTTTAATAAATGTTGTGCTGTAATGGCTTCAGCCTAGTGTTTCAATAAGAAAATAACTGCATGTTCAGTGCATACACCACTGATAGTAAAATAGTACTAGAATGTGCTACAGGATCATTCAAGATGTGGTGTGTTTATTTTCAATATGACTGAAGCATAAAATACTGATGAAGTAATTGGAGGACTCCATCATTTTCACGATTTCAAATAAAGTTAGAGGATAAAAACTAATGCTGTTGACTTGATAGGCAAGTAAATCTTTCCAGAACTAGAATTGAGAGGAATACAAAAGAAGAAATAAAGAAATCTGTCTGCAGCTTCTCTGAATATGTTTTGAGTAGATGACCATGGTTAACAAATCTTCCACACTCCCCAGCAGAGGGCATCCTAGGAACAAGGAATCCCGGTTCTTCTACCTGTAGAAGATTGCTCCTACCAAGAAAAAGGGAAGAAGGGCATCGCATGGATAGACTTTCTAGTCATATGGTTCACACCTTCCAATTACTGCAATTCTGTTTTCTTTATTAAATTTAAGGATCTCTCAAATACAGGAATACTTCATTATATTGTGTATCCAGACTGAGAGCAAAACATAGGCTTTGTGTGTTCTAATATCTACTTAGTAAAAATAACTGTAGGCTGAGCTTATTTGTGAATGTATGTATCTGCGCATATGATGCTAAAATAAGTAAATGCTGAATTGCTTCATTAGGCAGTAAGACTCTCCTAAGAACAAGGGATATGTGACTTACGGAGTTCATCAAAATGAGTATCTGCTCCATCGCTTCCAGGAATTGAGCAAATCAGTCTGGCTTTAAGAAAAGTGGTCCATTTGTTTATCAGACTTCGTTGCCCACCCACATCATTCTAGAAGAATGGGAAACAAAAAGGTTAAAAAGTTACCAATAGGAATCTACAACTAACTAAACTGAGTAGGAATTACAGGTAGTGCCTTATAAATACTACCTTTTAGAGGGCACACAACCTGCATATTTACTTCAACTACTCAAAAATGGAAGAGTTAGTTTGTCACTCAACCAAAAAATGTTTTCTTATGGCTAAATGAATGCAATGCAAGCAATTTAACTCTCGTGAGTGAGTAGATGCATGCAAGACTGCAGTAATTAAAGCAGGCTGGAATCAAATTCTGTCTGCCAAGTTTTTGTTCCATGACCTATAAAATGCTAATACATCTCTATTTTGTCATTGATAAAATATGATTAATGTCTTGAAATCCAGTTATTTTGATGATCAAATGGAAAGTTTTGTATAATGCATTTAGTATAGTGCCAGGCAACAGAGTTCAATAGCTGTTAGAATGACTTATGTATCATTTATGTATTTAAGAACAAAATTTGCATGTTTTAGAAATAGGCTTCATTATAGAGTTAAAAATGGTCTTCCTCAAACTAATGCAGTACTAATTAAACATCAAGGAATCATAAGTATACACATGCATACATATGAAAATAATTTTCAATATTAACCTACATTTCCATACATTACTTCTTCTCAGAAGTTTTTTATTTAAAATGATTTTGAACATTGAGCCAAACATAAACATCCATATCAAATAAACAGAATAAACAGAATTATGTCCCATTATACACTACATTTATAAGATTTTAAAAAATGTATTTGTAGCTAGTTTTTTTTCCTGTGCTTATAATAAATAAAATGCAAATGATTCATGGAATGCATATACTAGGCATTCTTTTCTTCAATAAAAAGTATTCTTAGATTCATTTTCCATCAATCTACTTACATTTAAATATGTTACCTAAATCTTTTGTCTTTCCTCATCTCAAATTCTAGAAAGTTAATGAAAATTTAATTGAAAAGTTGGGCATTTGAAAATCTAGTACCTACCTTCTCTGCCTAATATCTATAGTCTAGACTAAATTGTAGGAGAATGTCTGAATGACAACTCTAAGCAAGAAAATTGAATACATTGTATATATAAGCATATACACATACATACATATATTCTTCAAAAAACGAATGAGACACTGAAGGAAGACCAGCTAGCCTCCTATCTTCAGGAAACTTAAGACCAAGCACAGAGTGATACTATATGCAACACTCATTGTGACTCATCTTTTACATTCCTTTTTGTTGAACAGGGATAGCTCTTGATCAGCAAAGTGTAGTAATAATTATTCTTTTCTTGATTAAATTTAGATTTCTAAGAAACAACAATATAAGCCGAAGGACAATTTTAAACATTAGAGGCATCTATCTTGAATAAAATATACTTCCTGTACTTAATAAATCGCAACAATTCTCAGATTTTTGTCATGCTTGTTTTCTTTTTAAAAAATTGACACAGGGTCCCATTTTGTGCCCGTGGCTGTCCCGAAACTCACTATGTAGACCGTGTTGGCTTGAGCTAGCCAAAATCCACCTTCTTGTATCTTCTGAGTGCTGGGATTAAATGTGTGTATCATTGCCCATCAACTATTTCCTTTACAGCTTAAATGATTCCAAGGTGTTATGAACAATAGAATAGATCCATAAGTTACATATATAACTATATATTCATATGTTTATGTTCATACACAATAAAAATCAATGGAAGACACAGAAAGTTCTTAAAATTGGGAGAAACAGAAGAGGAGGATTTGGGTGAATTTTGTTTTGTTTTGTTTTGTTTGTCATGTATACAGTTTAGAATTTCTGCCTTTTGATGATAATAAAATCTACAACAGCATTTGGTTTTTAGATGTTTTAAGTTAGCACCATAAAATCAACTTCTTAGTGCTTTTACTAATCAGAATATTCTTTACAGCTCCGCCAATATGGTGCTTAATAAACATACATTCAATCATTAAGAAAATAACTAATGTTACAAATGAAATTGGCAAATTGTTTGGAAAGGTTTAGAGGGCCAAGGAAATAGAGCCTCTGCTGGAGGTTGTGAACACTGAAAAAACCAAAAGACATGTTTAGGAAGAGGCAGATTCGATACTAGTTCTTTTCACTGGTGAGAAGTGTTAGGGTACATGTAAAGATGAGTTGCAGAAATGCCCCAGGGGCTGGAAATTAGGGGAAGTACAAGGGATAGAGCAATCCAAAACACACCGAGAGAACCAAGACAGAACTTGTTTCTATGAAAACTGGGATCAATTAAACTAGTGAAGGAAAATGTTAGAAAAGTAAATTAGGGATAGACCAAGGGAGGCTTTCATACAAGGCCAAGGTGCCTGTGTGTTATTAAGTACAAAATGAAGAAGTGCTCAAGTAATGTAATTAGAAAAGAAATGAAATAATTATATTTGTCTTTAAGAAAACCACATAGCATAATAATGCCACTCAAGTAACAGTCATGTCTATAACTGTTCTCTCTCTCTCTCTCTCTCTCTCTCTCTCTCTCTCTCTCTCTCTTGGTGTTTCAAGACAGGGTTTCTCTGTGTAGCTTTGGAGCCTATCCTGGCACTTGCTGTGTAGTGGCTTCAAGCTCAGAGATCCTCCTGCCTCTACCACCCAAGTGCTGAGATTAAAGGTGTGTGCCACCAACACCGAGCAAAGTAGCACTTATACCAGGAGTGGGGTTTGAATGCACACAGATAATATGCCCACAGGATCTTGAGTTCAAATGTAACTACTCTTAAATATCTATTGTGTATATTTATTTTTTGAGTATCATTGCTTAAACAGTACTATTTTTGATGATTCTGATGTCTATGAAGATGTAAAGTCGGACTTAACTAAATATGCATTTTTAAATGCTCATGTTTCAGAAAGTTTCACTCTTTTCTAAATATCTGGTATACAAATGTCAGCAAGTGTCCACATTGTAATATTGTCCCTATTCCATTTTCAGTGTTTATCTATGGCAAACATAAAAAGATTCCGAACTACTAGCTCCAAATTTATTCTTTCAAAAAGGAATATTTATTTTTTAATTGGCTAAATAAAAATTGCAATCTTTTAAAAGGAATCATCTCTGACTGCTCTTGCCTTGTCCAGTTCCTTAGGGAGCTCAAAATATAAACAAACAATCAAGCAGAACAAATCAGGTCAACACCACCTGTTATCATCAGAGCAGCAAGCACAACTTTGGCACAGTGCTCTCAGGAAGCACTGGTTACTGCACAGTAACTGTCCGAGAACCCTGGATCACCGGGAGGGAAGTTCAGTACACGAGACTTTGTGTTTCTTCGGCAAGGAAGTATCAGTCTGACTTTGTTGTCCAGCTGTCAACCCACGTGTTTGTTTGCAAATCCACAGAATCCCCTCTGAGAGCTTTGAGCCCAGAAGAGGGCTGAAAGGAGGTAATCAGTCTTGTACTAAATTGTCACGTCTTAGCTTATTTTTGTGAAGCTCTCCAGAAGCCAGCAGTATCACTGACACAAAAGATTTATTATTGAGATGTCAGAATCAGCAGCTCATGGTCACCAGTCACTTGTGTGTGCTTCCACTCTATTTATCATGGCTCCTTTGTTGTTAGGTCCTCTACACAAAGATGCACATGAAAGTAACAAAGAGATGAAGGTAAACAAGGCTGAACTCTCTGCCCCTCCTGGGTGGTGAATAAGAGAGTGCTTGGGTTTTTACAACAGATTATGAATTGCTTTCATCTAGTAATAAGTGGATCAGTCATGATACAGCCTAATGGATAGAACATCTTCCTTCTGGCAAGCAAATTTAGGTTTATATACATATTAAACTGACATGCAAACTAGCTCTAGGGGGAAAAAAAGATCTAGGGAAATATATTCATTAACTTTAAATTGTATTGCTAAATCCTGAAAGTCAATGAAGTTGCCAAGGCAATTGAGAATATATTGAAACTGTATGTTCAAGAGATAGAACATATCAAGAGATATGTTCAATGAGCTGAGATAGTAGAATGTTTGCATGCATATATGAAGACTGTGTAGTCTTAAAAATAACTGAGTTCAACAAGCCACACATGTGTTATACAGGGAAGTGGCTAGTTTTCCTCTCTGCCCTTTTCTTTAGTGATTTGTTTAGGTATGTTTTTGATTTTCCTTCTAAGTTATCTCAACTGTCAGATGTGGGGATCAGGATTCTTGGTTCAAGCTCTCTGGAACTTACATGAGATCATAAGCATCAGAAAAGCCACTGGTGTCCTTTAAAGCAGTGGAGAGTGGGTCCCAATAGATCCAGTGTTGGTAAACGGAAGGGGAGTTGCTCTGACTGGCTCTTTTTCTAAACATATGTGTCTCTTTAATACCAGTCTCTCAGGAAAATAAATAATTCTTTTTTTGTGGCACTTAACCCATTCTATGTGAGTCACTAAGGCTTCAATATTTGTTTCTCCGACTCACCTGAGAGGATTGTCAAGTATGATATCCTGTGAAGACTGAGGTTATTCTTAATTAAAATTTTTATTACACCTGGCATTTCCTTTCTCTTATTGGGAATAGTTTTGATGTTCTTCCCATGAACCAGCCACAAGAAACTACAGTTACAACCTATGGAAGACTTAGAGTCGAACGTAGGAAGAACAACACTGTTTTCTCAGTTGTTTGTGGGGCAGAGCTTCCCTATCATAATTAGTTCCTTCAAAGTAAGGAAATATCCTCATTAAAGCTCTTCTTTGAAGTGCATTGATATTGTTTTTAATATTTACTTTTCTTTTTCTCAGGGGGAGAGGTGTCATTGGAGACACAAAACACATGTGAAGGTCAAAGGACAACTTGAAGAAATCAGGTCTCCCCTTCGACCATTGGATTCTCATGCTTGAAGGCAAGTGGCTTTATCTGCTGGGCCATCTCACCCACCCTAAAATAGTAATATATTTTAATGTACATGGTATATGTCAAATGAGGCTTTTAAGACCTTATTCTAGGTTTTACTTTATTTCTCTAATGTTGCAATTGCAGTTTTAAGCTTTTATG